ATTATTATTATTATTATTATTATTATTATTATTATTATTATTATTATTATTATTATTATTATTATTATGATTATTATTATTATTATTATTAGTAGTAGTAGTAGTAGTAGTAGTATTAGTATTAGTATTATTAGTATTATTCTTCTTAGTCTTATTATTCTTCTTATTAGTATTAGTCTCAGTATTCTTGTTATTAGTCTGATTCTTATTATTCTTATGATTATGCGTCTTATTATTAGTATTATTCTTCTTCTTATTATTATTACTATTACTATTATTATTATTCGTAGTATTCTTCTGATTCGTCGTAGTATTCGTTTTCTTCTTCGGATTCTTCGTAGTCTTCTCCGTATTCGTATTCTTCTTCGTGTTCTTATTATTATTCTTCGTAGTAGCCGTCTTGTTCTTATTCTTCTTCTTCATAGTATTATTGTTCGTCTTATTATGCGTTTTATTATTCGTCTGCGTATTCTTCGTTTTCGTCTTCTTCTTCGTATTAGTATTCTTCTTCTTATTAGTAGTATTATTATTCGTCTTCTTCGTCTTATGATTCTTCTTCTTCGTATTAGTATTCTTATTATTAGTATTATTCGTCTTATTAATATCATTATTCTACTTCTTATTATTATTAGTATTATTGTTATTCTTATTATTATTATTATTATTATTATTATTCTTATTCGTATTAGTATTCTTAATCGTTTTCGTATTATTATTCTTACTTGTGTTTGCCTTATTATTATTAGTAGTAGTATTATTAGTACTATTACGTCATCGTGGAGAGGGGGATTATTTTCTTCATTTCTTCATATTATTCTTATTAATTCTTCGTATTATTCTATTATTCTGCGTTTTTCTTCTCCTCCTCCCTCCTCCTCCTCCTCCTACTCCTCCTCCTCCCCTCCTCCTCCTCCTCCTCCTCCTCCTTCTGCCCTCCTCCTCCTCCGCCTCCTCCGCCTCCTCCTCCCTCCTCCTCCTCCTCCTCCTCCTCCTCCTCCACCCTCCTCCTCCTCCTCCTCCTCCTCCTCCTCCTCCTCCTCCTCCTCCTCATCCTCCCCCTCCCTCTCCGCCTCCTCCTCCTCCTCCTCCCCCTCCTAGCTGCCAGCTCGGCCCGATTTGGGTTGCCGAGCCCGCGCCATCGGCGCTCGCGCGCCGCCCACGGCCCTCGCGGCCGCCCTTCCTGTCCCTCGCCGCGCTTCGTCTCGCTCCCTCAGGGCCGCGATGGATCCGGAGCCCCTGCGGCGGCGTGCTCGCCGGCCGAACCGGACGGCCGCTCAGCGCCGCGCGCAATATGCGCGGGCGCAAGGCCGAGTGGCGCAGCATCTGCTGAAGGCCTTCGACGAGATCGTGGGCCACCGTGGCCAGCAGCTCACCTTCCTCGGCAAGGCGCTCCGAGAGGCGCTCGCTGGCGGCCCAGATGCAGGACCCGATGATGCTGTTGCAAGTGCTGAGCCCGCGGACGTCCCGCCACACGGTGAAGGTGGAGATGACGAGCGGGATGCACCTCTTCTTCAGCCTGGAAATGCCGAAGCCAGGGGAGATGGGGGGAGCCATAAGGGCGTTGCCCTGGCACTGACCCACCCGCCCCTGGCGACGGCTGCAGCGGCGGGCGCGGCGGCGGCGGCGGCGTTTGCCACCACGGGCACGCAGGAGGGCGAGACCAGCATCGTGGAAATGGTCCACGCCCTCCGCGCGGAGATCGCCGCTGCAACGGGCCAGGCGGGGGCCCCCACGGCCAGCGCCGTGCATGCAGTGGAGCGTGACGACACCGAGCGTGAGGAGAAGGCGGTGGCGGCGCATGAGGTGCTGCGGGGCGTGCAGGGCGGCCATTTTGGTACTGCACGCGGCGGAGGAGGAAGAGGAACTGCTACGGGGTCCGCGGCTTCCGCGACCGCGACCTCTCCTGCCCCAGGGGCTGCTGCTGCAAGGAGGCCACTCCCAGGCATTTCGCCGCCCACTGACGAGCAGTGCAAACAGCAGTGATCGCAGAACTGGCTGTGGTACGCGTTCACCGTCGCGGCCCTCGTCGTGCTCGGTGCGGTAGAGTTCTTCATCGTCTCCTACTCCTTCCATGTGCTCGTGGTGCGCTACCATGTGCTCGCGTTCGCCGTGAAGGCCAGGGGAGAGGTAGCGGTTTGTTACATGACTTCGTCATTGGTCTCATCTCATCTCATCACCTCCTCCTCCCCCTCCTCCTCCTCCTCCTCCTCATCCTCCTCCTCCTCCTCCTCCTCCTCCTCTCATCGTCGCAGCATCATCATCATCATCATCATCAGCATCATCATCATCATCATCATCATTCATCATCATCATCATCATCATCATCATCAGCATCATCATCATCATCAGCATCATCAGCATCATCCATCATACCATCATCATCATCATCATCATCATCATCAACATCAGCAGCACAGCATCTCATCTCATCATCAGCAGCAATCATCCTCATCATCATCATCATCATCATCATCATCATCATCATCATCATGCATCATCAATCATCATCACCGATCATCTCATCAATCATCAGCATCATCATCCTAATCAGCATCATCAATCGATCATCATCAGCATCGTCATCATCATCATGAGCATCATCATCATCATCATCGTCATCATCATCCTCATCATCATCATCAGCATCATCATCATCGTCGTCCGTATCATCGTCGTCATCATCATCATTATCATCATCATTATCATCCTCATCCTCATCAACATCAGCATCATCATCATCATCATCAGCATCATCATCATCATCATCAGCATCATCATCATCATCATCGTCATCATCATCATCAGCATCATCATCATCATCGTCGTCGTCATCATCGTCAGCATCATCATCAGCATCATCATCATCATCATCATCATCAGCAGCATCATCAGCATCATCAGCAGCATCAGCATCAGCATCAGCATCAGCATCATCATCATCATAATCATCATCATCATAATATCATCATATCACCATCATCATCATCATCAGCATCGTCATCATCATCTGCATCATCATCATCATCATCATCCTCATCATCATCATCATCATAATCATCGTCATCATCATCATCATCATCATCATCATCAGCATCATCGTCTTCATCCTCCTCCCATACCTCCTCCTCCTCCTCATCCTCCTCCTCCTCGTCATCCTCCTCCTCCTCATCATCATCATCAGCATCATCATCAGCATCATCCTCCTCATCCTCCTCTTCCTCCTCCTGTTCCTCCTCCTCCTCCTCCTCAGCCTCCGCCGCTTCCTCCTCCTCCTCCTCCTCCTCCTCACCCCATCCTCCTCCTCCTCCTCCGCCGCCTCCTCATCTTCTTAGTATGTTTCTTATGATTCGTCTTATTATTATTCGTATTATTATCTATTATTATTGTTAGTATTAGTATTATTATTATTAGTATTGTTATTATTCGTATTGTTATTATTATTATTCGTATTGCTATGATTCGTCGTCTGCGTCTTCTTAACATTCTGCTTATTATCCTTATTATCATTAGTATTATTATTGATAGTGGAAGTATTATTCTTTTTATTATTCTTATTATTCTTGTTATTAGCATTCTTAATATTATCATTATTATTATTAGTAGTGTTATTCTGTTTCTTATGATTGGCATTATTAATATTATTATTAGTAGTATTACTATTAGTTTTGATGTTGTTATCAGTAATAATAATAGTAGTGGTATAATTATCATTAGTAGTATTCGTCCTCCTCCTCCTCCTCCTCCTCCTCCTCCTCCTCCTCCTCCTCCTCACCCCATCCTCCTCCTCCTCCTCCCTCCGCTCCCCTCCCCTCCCCTCCCCTCCTCTCCACTCTCTTTCTCGCCCTCCTCCCCTCTCCCCTCCTCCCCCCCCCCCCCATCATCCCCGTCCTCCCCCTCGGGGCCCGAGGCGGCGGGCCTGAGGCCCAGCCGTTGCAGCAGCGCCGTCAGGGCGCCCAAGATCTCCTCTTGCGAGGGCGCGGCGCGGGGCGGCGACCCTTCGCCTCTGCCTCGGACAGGAGGAGCTGGGATAGGAGGGGCAGGAGGAGGGAGAGGAGGAGGAGGAGGAGGAGGAGGAGGAGGAGGAGGAGGAGCTGGGATAGGAGGGGCAGGAGGAGGGAGAGGAGCGAGAGGAGGGAGAGGAAGAGGGAGACAAGCCAGGTGCGCTCGCGCCTCATCTGACGTCCTTGCCCTCCCTCCCATCCCTTCCCATGGAACTGATGTTTCACTATCCGCGGACGCGTGTCATAGCCGACCTGCGACTCCCACAGAAAAGCCACTTCGTGGCATGCGCAATCGGGAAAAAGAAGAACTGCGTGCACAGGAGGAGGTGGCGGGTGAGCAGCAGAATGAGTGAGAGGAAAAGGATGAGGACGAACAGCTGCAGCGGCAGGAATGAAAGCGGAAGAATGGAAAAGAAAAGAGGACCAGGGAAAGGCGGAGGAGGGGAAATGAGGGGGGCGACCACGATGAAGAAAGACTCGGAGTTAGAAAAGTGGCCCTCGCTGGGTCGAGACGAACAGCAGCAGCAGGAACTGGAGTGGACGGAGCGGGAGGAACAAGAGGACCTGAGGAAGGCGGAGGGAGATGAGGGAGGGCCACAATTAAGATAGACTCGGATCCAGAAAAGTGGCCCGCGCTGGGGCAAGAGCGCCACTCTGAACGACGGGCAAAGGGCCGATCCGAAAATGAGGCCCGCGCTGCAGCGGGAGCACAGTTTTGAAACACCGAGAACAATCGGAGTGTAAACAAACATTAGGAAAATCTATGCTGGAATTTCTGCGTGTGGAAAAGCACGCGGAGGGAGGCGGGCTACTTTTTATCATCTTCGGTGGAGAGGAAAGCAGTATTCATGTTGAGCAATTGTCCAGGGGCAAGAGGCGAGAGAGGAAGGGCAGGAGGAGGAAACCCGCGCCGCGTCCGCCCACCCATCCCCCTTCTCCTCCTCCCCCCTCTTCCCCGTCCTGTTCCCCCTCCCGGTGAGAGGCAAGATCGGTCAGCATCGACTCGGGAAGACGGACCGAATCGGAATGAGCGTCGGATCGGGCCGCATCGGTCGGCGCGGAGTCGAAATCGGATCGGACCGACCGCGCCAGGATGCACGACGACGCCGAGCGAGCATCGGGCCGCACCGGATCGCCCGAACATCGGAATCAAACCGGATCGAGCAAGGTAGAATCGGTACCGCATCGTATCGGATCGGAGCGAATCAGAGTGGGCGCTGAGAGGGAGGCCAGGAGGAGCAAGAAGAGGCGGAGGAGGTGGGGTCAGGAGATGCAGGAGGCGGACGAGACCCACGCAATGCTCTCCCCATGTCGCCCCCATCCACCCCTTCCTGTTCCTCCTCCTCCTCATCCTCCTCCTTCTTCTCCTTCTGCTCCTCTTCCTCCTCCCCCCTCTCTGTCGATCAGAGGCGGGTGCCGAATTCTGAGCTCCGAGATTCAAAGGGAAGAGTGGGAAAGAAAAAGCGGCAGAGGTTACGCACGCAGCATGCGGGGCTCCACTGAACGCCCTGCCCTTCAAAGTGAAGCATTAGCACTAGAGATCTGAGCTGGCAAATGCGAATAGCGGCGGCAAAGTAGAGCTTACCCCCAAGGCACATGCAAGTCAAGTACCCCGTGAGACGAGTGAGCTGGCATTCCTGATACTGCCTTGTGTTGTGGGCGAACAGCATTCACAGGTGAGCTCCTTCAACTTGCAAGGCTTACAAACTTTGCCGATCGGTCAGGCAGGGCGCAGGGAGGACGGACACAGCAACGCACACAAAGCTTCAGAACGTTGATCGTCATATACCCTGGTTGGGCGTGATTTACCCGCGCATCGTACCCATTCGTATACCCCCTGCCAGGTAGGGCCGAATGGGGCGCTGTGACGGCCGTAGTCCTGGTAGTAGTCCGCAACTGTCGTCAGTAGCACCAAATCCCGGCGTGTCTCAAAAGGGGTTGTGTTGCTGCTGTGACTTATCGTAGTTGAAGTCGTCAGATGGGAAGCACCGTAGGGCAGGTGGGCCTGGTAAAGGTAGGGAAACGTATGGCAAAATGCTTCTAGGAGTGTAGCGGCAATACAGGCACGCAAGGGGAAAGGGTACGTCTTAGCATGGTCCTCCTTCTTCTCCTCCACTTCTTCCACCTCCTTGCCCTCCGAGCTCACCTGTGTATTCCTTATGCTCCCCTCCCTCGACCTGTTCCTCACCCTTCACCTCACCCTCCGTACCATCAGCATCATCATCATCATCAGCAGTCATCACAAACATCAGCATCATCATCACAACCAGATCAGCATCATCATCAGCATCAGCATCAGCATTAGCATCATCATTATCAACATCATCAGCATCGTCATCATCAGCATCATCATCACCACAGTCATCATCATCACCATCATCATCAGCAGCATCATCAGCAGCACCAGCATCACTAGCAGCAGCCCCAACCTCATCGTCGTCGCCATGACCATCCCCGCCATGGTAACACTACGCGCCGTATTCGCCATCGCCGACGTCGATACTGAACAGGGTCGTCGTAGCCATAGCCGTCGTCACTCACCATAAGAATCACCACCTGCATCAAAAACAACGCAACCGCCATCGCCATCAACAGCATCATCACCGCGATAAGTAGCATAGGCATAGCCATCATCACCATCATCACAACCATCATCAGTAGCATCGGGATCTTCATTACCACCAGCATCATTGTCAGCATCATCAGCAGCATCAGGATCATGATCAGCATCAGCATCTTCATCATCATCATCATCATCATCATCATCATCATCATCATCATCATCATCATCATCCGCAGCCGCATCAGCATCCGCAACAGCATCGTCAGCCTCATCATCAACATCATCGCCATCGCCATCGTCACATTCGTCGCTGACACCAGCAGCAGCATCGTCGTGATCACCGTCACGAGCATATGCACCGTCATATTCAGTATTACCATCTTCATCGTCCTCGTCACAATCATCACCGCCACAATCACAAATACCGTCATCATCAGCAGTCGCGTCAGCATCGTCAGCATCATCATCATCATAACCAGAACCATCATCATCGTCATCAGCATCATCATCCCCATCGTCATCATCATCATCATCATCAACAACAACAGCAGCAGGAGCGCGTTTCTTTACTGGGAGCCGGCGGTAAACCGTCAACCTTGGTTACCGCCGGGAACTCGTAGAGCTTCCTCGTGCAATGCGGGCGCGGCAATCTCGCATTGCGCGCGCGAAGGCGCGGTCTCATGGAGGAGGACGTGGAGGAGAAGGAGTGAGGAGAAAGCATACCTGGAAAAATTGATAGAGCACGAACAGTTTTCTGGTTCCAACTCTGAAAGCGTGACGAGTTCGGCCATCTGGATACTTGAAACTAGCGCGTCTGATAAATTCCTTCGGGTTCTGTGCCAAACAGCTCTGTAGCTCTTCTGCAGCTCGAGTTACATCAAGAAAGTTACCATCATCTGTCTAAAACTTATCAGGGTACGAATAGCTTTTCTGACCCAGCTCTGGTAGCAGACCAAATCCAGGCGTCTAGATACTTTAGACTAGCGCTTCTTATGATTTCCTTCCGTCTTATGTGACGAACAGCTATGTAGTTCATCTCCAGCTCGAGTTAAGTCAAGAGAACCATCACCATCTTTAAAAAATGACACCGGAGAAAAAAAACAATCATGTTTGTTGATATTCCAATTGCTCCCTTTGCAATCGGGCTATAGGGCGGGCTATAGGGCTATGGGGCTGTAGGGCTATAGGGCTATCGGGCTGTAGGGCTATAGGGCTATCGGGCTATAGGGCTGTAGGGCTATCGGGCGATAGGGCTATAGGACTATAGTACTGTGGCCTATAGGACCATAGGGCTATAGGGCTATGGGGCTATAGAGCTATCTGGGCTATGGGGCTATAGGGCTATAGGGATATAAGGCTATTAGGGCTCTAGGGATATAAGGCTATAGGGCTACAGGGCTATAGGGCTATACGGCTATAGGGATATAGGGCTGTAAGGCTACAGGGCTACTGGGCTATTGGGCTATTGGGCTATTGGGCACCCCCGGGCCCCGGGGCACCCCCGGGCACCCGGGCACCCGGGCACCCGGGCCCGGCCACCGAAATCGGCCACGCACCTCACCGGCCACCAGGGCACCCGGGCACCGCCGGGCACCCGGGCACCCGGGCACCCGGGCCCGGCCACCGAAATCGGCCGCACCTCCCACCTAATCCTTTAATCCGCTAGGACCCCTACAGAAGCAAGCTCTGATTGGGGAATTAGCAGAGTACGAATAGTTTGTCGAACCCAGCTCAGACCGAGTTCAGGCGTCTAGATACTTTCGACTAGCGCGCCTGATGACTTCCTCATTGTTGTGCTGAACAGTTCTGTAGCTCGTCTGCAGTTCCAGTTTAGTCCAGAAAACCATCACCATCTCTAAAAATTAGCAGAATACGAATAATTTTTAGGACCCAGCTCTGATAGCAGACCGAGTTCAGGCGTCTACATACTTCAAGCTAGCGCGCCTGATAATTTGCTTCCGATTGCTGTGCCAAACAGCTCTGTAGCTCATATGCAGCTCGAGTTAAGTCCAGAAAACCATCACCATCTCTAAAAAATTAGCTGGGTACGAATAGATTTTCGGACCCAGCCAAGATGGCAGACAGAGTTCAGGCGTCTAGATACTTTAAACTAGCGCGCCTGATGATTTCCTTCCGATTGCTGTGCCGGACAGCTCTGTAGCTCATCTGCAGCTCGAGTTAAGTCAAGAAACTCATCATCATCTCAAAAAAATAGTAGAGTACGAACAGTTTCGCGGACCTAGCTCTAGTAGCAGACCGAGTTCAGACATCTAGATGATGAAGACTTACGCGCCTGACGATTCTAGATCGATTACGTGTGCCTACCGGCTCTGTAGCTATCCTACAGCTCGAGTTAAGTACAGAAAACCAACAGCACCTGTCAAGATGACACGAAACCG